AGCAGGTCTGCTCTGGTCTGTGATATTCGCTGATATTTGGATCCCATTAACATTTTTGTTATAAGTCGTATACCAGAAGGAAATATTCTTCTCCGAAAGCAGACTTTTACCGGGATGGAGTAAATAGTGTATGCTCAATCAGTCTGTCTAAGAGATCCAAGCTCATTCTCTTAGTCTTTACGTCTACCGAGGTCAGCTGTTCCGGAACAGAACTGAGTCCTTTAATCATCATTATGCATCGAAGTCAACGCTAAAATACGCAGTTCAACCGTTGTTCCTATTCCTTTGTTAGGACAACTGTAACCATACCGTACAAAAACAATGACAAAATACAGCCGAATTTTCCTTAGAGGAACAACTCCTTTATCAGCCCAGATATTTGACAGGTTACTAAGTGTGAAAAAGGTTAGAGCGATCCTCCTATTTCACTCAGACTGGATAATGCCGTCGCTGGAGATGATGCATCCGAGATATTTAAACTGATCAACCCCCTGAAGGTTTCACCTCCCTGTTCCACTTGTCGATCAGCTGTGCCGGATGCATTCCTCATCATTTATGGCTTCCAGGCATTTAAGAGACCGGCTTTGGCCGCTAAGTTGTATACTAAAGATGTCAGGTGACAAAGCCCGCTAACCGTATTACTCATCAAGACAATTCCATCTGCATACTCCAGGTTAGCAAAATATCTAGCCAAATATCTGCAACATCGAATATCATCCAGAATGAGACTCTGGTATTTGCATTGTCGGCACTATATCGGGGAAGAAAGTTCAGGACAATGTTGAATAGCAAAAGCGAAAGCACATCTCCCTGGAAAAACTCCCCAGATAATGAGGAACGATCCAAAGAGCTTTGAACTGAAATATGGCAGTATATATTTTCAATACACGCATCTCTTCTAAAACGGAAAAGATGTGCTCAGGTATTCCATATTATTTAACGATATTCGATATCATCGGACGAATTCGAAAAGAACCAGCATACCAAGGAAACTGGAATCATCTGCAGAGTGGAATCGCGGTTGAGAGCGACAGGCCACCCAGACAAGCACAGTTTAAAATGTAGTACGAGATGCTATCAGCAGGGATCTTTCAGCTAAGCTGAAGAACGCGAATCTGTAGTAAGATAAAAGCTACGACAAGTGATGGATAATGGCGGCATCCGGAGAAAATCCTTTGATCTCTGTGTATATAATGTCCGCTTGTATCGTACGGTCTACGTAGTTCATTCCGGCGCCACAATACTGAATTTAACAAGTCAAGAAAAGTGAAAATCAGCTGAGGGCTTGGATGTCTCCGCAACAAGACAGCTGTTTTAGAGCATACAGCCAGCTCGACGAGTTAGATCCTCAAACCATTCATACCAAATGATGGGCTGCGTAAATAGGAATAAAAATGAGTGCTGCAATCCATTTAAACCTGTGCCTATCGGAACAAAATCAACTATCTGTGAAAGATAAAAATATCAATATTTTTGACAAGACAATCCAAAAGAGTACTATGCGATCAAATTCATTCGGAAAATAGCTAAACTTGTTAATACGCGGTACCGGCAATTCCCAAACTACATAAAAGAATTTGTTAATCTTTGAAAAAACCTGCCAATCACAATCAGAAAACGCAATATTTTGTAATACCAATACGCAATACCAGAAGGCTACATCATTTATATGAGGATGATAGTAAATATACAAGATCCTCAGGTATAACGTTGCAATTATCTTAAGTTGGAAAATAAAATTTCTTCATTGGTTGTTTTCTGAGCTGTTGAAAGCCTATCTATTAGTCAAGTTTATCAGCAACTATTCTACATCTCGTACCTACTGATCGCAAATAAGTGATCGAACATTCTCAAAACATCGTGAATCTTCATTTGATCAAGGGCTTAAGCAGTGTTACAGTAAAGCAAAGCAGTAAAATATATTTTTAATTTCTTTGCATCTCTTCATTGATCTTCCTTAAGAGTGAGCGTACGATGAGGCAATAACTGATACAACATCCCAGTCTCATCAGAATTACAAAAAAAAATCTTTTATATTTTAATCTGCTATTATCTTTGAATTTTCTCCCGCACGCCCTTTGCTAGCATGATCGTGTGTTACATCGTTCTGTTTCATCTCACTATATACATTACCCTGGAACCTATTCCATATCGGTCTTTAGTTATTTGCCATCCAACACTTGTTTGAAAATTATTGCGACCTTAATGTTTTCAAAATCAAATGGCTTTTCGCATATTATTGGTGAACACTGAAATGGATATTTCTTAATTGAACACTATGCAAAAACAGTTTTAACGATAACATCATGCAAGGCGTTTCGAATCTTCTTTATTTGAGATCCTAATGCACTCTTTCTAATATTGCCTTAAATCTGTTTACGATCTTTTAATGTTGTAGACAATATCGAAATAGAAGAACCTGTTTTTTTGCAATCGCTTCTCTTTTTCCCACTGTTTATTTGTTTCAAAATAGTAAATCTTTCTTTTAACACGAATTGTCATTATTTTTCGTTATTCTATCCATTTCTATGGTCTCTGTAATAAAAACTTAATTAAATCACTATGCCATCTATTATATCTTTAACTGCAAACCGTACAATGTACTGAATAATTTGCTAAACACGGAGAAAATACACTAGCGGTAATCAACAATAACTTACTCATCGCAATAAGGAAGAACACCTACATAAAAACCTTGTAAGGAGGTCGGGTAACCACTAAAAATACGAGAAACACAAGGCAGAATGAACATGTTAGACTCATGTTGTCAGGCCAGTTGCTAGCACATATGTTTCGACAGCTAGACTGTCACTTTCAACAGAGTGAGGATGTTAATTCTTGTAAGTACAGTAAGCAGTACGCTCGAGCAGGGCGCTCTTCTAAATCTAGGCAGTCCAACACATGTGGTATCTCTGAATCTAATAAACAATTTGGCAGCAATATTTGAATTCTTTCCCTTCGTCCATGTTTTATTGTTTTTTGTTCATTCCATAAATAATTATTTTATTGAACTTCGTTGCTGTTTCAAACGTAATCTGTAACGAAGTAGCTGTTAGGTGTTAAATAAGAAATTATTTGTGATACTGAAAATTTCCTTATTGCGCAGTTCGTTGAACTGAAATTTGACCTGTGTATGTTAGCAGTTACTGAATAAATAGGTCAATCCATCGTTACTCCACTGGTTTGTCGATATACCATTCCGTTGAATAAAAGTCAGGCATAGATAAAGCAAAATTTAATGCATTGCAAAAACAGTTCATTGGTTAGTGCAGTACTTCTTTTCCAGGCTGGAAGAGAGTGTACCCGTTCTTTAACGTTTTGTAACTGTTTTTCTATTATAGCAAAGAAGAACTACATGTCAAAACTGAAACGTGCTTTCTTCTATTCGATGGATTCATTGAACAGCTTTGTTTTAATTAAATTGATAAGTTATTTCACCCAGTTGTAATCTGGTGTTGAAGTGCAACTTGACCTAGGCGTATATTGCTTTTGTAGACTTTCGAATGCCTGTATTATTTACGTCCTGGGTGGGTCTTTTGTGTCAATAAGGAAGTATCTTTGTTTACTCAATTCCAGTTTCATCCATTTAGCAGCAAGTTGAACTCTCTTGGGTCTGACCGGCATTCGTCTATTTATTTCCTCTGTATGAACCATTTTGAATTAAATCCTCATGTTTTGGATGTAATTCATTATTTTCTTTAGAATTACCATGACGACGTTTCATCTGTTCGCGGGAATAATTGTCAACAAATCAGCGCGCTGCAAACTTCTAACTGCTGGCGAATTTTCTTTAGCGATGCTGCTAATTGGACTTCTGATTTCCCAGATGACACCAGCGATTCCTTTCCTTAATACTTCGGCTAAATTCGCATCACAGGTCCGTAAACTTAATTCGATCAGTTGTATGAATTTTGCAGGCAATACTTTCGTTAAGAGCTTTCCTTCAGCAACGCAGCTTTCAGCTCCGTCGACAATTTGATATCTGTTTTGGTCTGAGCCGACGGTGGGGTGAAGACCGCGTCGACGACCACATCTGCTCCTCGTTGCTCAGCTGTCGGTTTCCGTCTCAGTCTTTTCGCTTTCGATGGCAGCCGTTTAAGGGATGCCTGCGATTTCGTCACAGAGCTTCTGCTCTGTCCTTCACTGCGGTCTGCGGCGGTGGAAGACAGCCGTCGTTTGCGAAGCGTCTTGGGTCCGGCCCGGCTTTTCGACCGACCTGGGCGCGTTGCACTCTTCACCGGTTTCTGGCCGGTAGTGGATTTGCTTCGCCGTCTGATGGTACCTTTTCGACGTACCGAGGACGCCGCGCTCGTGCTGCGACGGCCCCTTTTCCTCGAAACCGATCGCTTTCTAGAGGAACGACTTACAGACCTTCTTTGCTTCCTCGTCCGACTGACTGATCGAGATCGAGATCGAGTTCGAGATCGAGATCGAGACTTGGATCGACGCCGCCGTGATACACGTTTATGTTTCGTCGACACCTTCTCCTCGGTTTGAACTGCAGCCGTGCTGACACTGGTTCCAAGCTCGGTCGATACCCCCTCTTCTTTCGATACAGGCTTTAACATGATCTTTCCGCCGCGTCGGATTTGGCGTCCCCCGGATGGGGTGACTGCCCTCTTAAGCTCCGCTGCAGAAGATTCCTCTTTCGCCACGAAAGCGCCTTTCTTCTGCTCTTTCGCTTTTTTGCATATCTGAAACATGAGAATTCATTATCGCCATATTTGATAAGATTTTGTTTCGCTGTTTTCCTTTGTGATTACTTGCAGACTTGGGAAAAATAATATTCCATTATTATTCAATGTAATGGGATATTATTCGATATATTTATTTTTATGCGATAATATATTTACGTGCTATGATGGAACTCCTGGTGCAAATATGTGGAAAAAGTCTGTTACAGACTCCATTTGTCTTCTGCGGGAGCTCAGACTGTGGTACAAGATAGGGAACGTTGGAAGCTCTGTCTGACGTCTCTGCCTCCGCGATCCGAAAGAAGAAGCGGCGATGGATGATGAAGATGAAACTTATATACACGCCAATGTTGTGGAAGCTGGGCAATGACTAAATTATGCACCAAAAACCCTCTATCGGGATGGCACCAAAAGTCAGACAGAAACCTGAGAAATTAGAGCAGACTTTGAAGTCTTCTCTAGTCACCATTGTTCGGGTATGGAAGATAGAAGCGTTGAAGCTTGCGGCGGACTGGTGAAGATCATCAGCTATTGCAGCCGATTTAGTCAGTGAATATGACAGCCGTAGCAACAACACATAAGAGATCGTATGCCATGTGGAGCAGATGATGGTCAGGTACATTATTTGTAACCTCTAGGACATTTATCAGAGCTTGCCGTTAAACCGATGGCATCAAGGTTTGGACCGAGTGCATCATTGTCTTGGAGAAACTCTGCACAACAGGATAATAAACTTGCTACAGTAATCATCGTACACCTGAGAAAAGTGAGTGATTCTTAATCTTCGGTGTCATCAGGATGATTTCAGCATTGAATACAAGGAGGAGTGATTAGCATAGGACGGTTATTTTAAACTCTGGTGTACACTATTCATGATACGATGTCATAAGGAATGAACGAAAAGTTCCCTAAGGAGCGGGTCACTGAAATATGGACGGGGATGCATGTGGCCTCATTTTCGAAGTCCTCTGGATTATTTTCCCGATGGACTCCGCGAATGAAACTTTTACTCCCAGCTGGTGAAGGTCGTTAGTGACAAAGATAAGTGTTAAGCATACAGTTGAATAGATAAGTGCTTGAACTATTGATGGTTCAGGGCACCAAATACAATCACAGAAACAGTTTGTTGCCAACACGTTTCGCTACGTAGGCCGTAGCATCTTCAGGGCTAGGCACATAAATTATGTTGAAAATAGGCAGCCACCTGACAGTTGATGTATCGGCCTCACTTAACAATACATGAAGTCTCTCCAAAGTTTTCACAGCTGTTTTAGCTCAGATGAGTCCAGGTGCCATATCATCATTCGCAACAATGAGATGTCGCAAGATACTCATCTTCCATATACCGGTGCCGCTATACAATCGATGACTGTGACTTTTCGGTTACGACCCATTGTGACGAAAGCAGAGCTCAGTCTGAAAACTAAGCTCTCAGGATTCAAGTCGATCTTTATCCCCATACTTTACGGTCATGAATCGTGGACCATCACTGAAAAACTTCGAACCCGTGTACAAGCTGCTGAAATGGGCTTTCTTAGACGGGTCGCTGGCCTTACGCGTCTTGACATGGCTCGGAAAACTGGCATTCGGGAGAACCTAGGTGTACAGCCTCTGCTTCTCCAGATCGAGAAGTCACAGCTGCGATGGCCTGGGCACGTGTTGTGAATGCCTCCAGAAAGGAAGGCTAAGCAACTGTTCCTTGCAATTGCAACCGGCAAAAGGCCCAGGGTACGGTCAAGATTAACCTGGTGCAAATATAATGAAGGAATCTCTGTTCGAGACTCGATTTGTCTTTTGCCGAAGCTCAGACTCTAGCACAGGATCGGGAACGTTGGAAGCTCTCTCTGACGCGTCTACCTCCGCGACTCGAAAGGAGAAGTGGCGATGGAAGATGAAAATGAAGTCAGTCAATATCACGAGAACCTCGCTCTGGGACCCATTTGGCTCATCAAACATTCGACTAAATCACTTTCAGCTGTTTTTCTGTCTCGACCTGCAGAATCCACAAACTTTCTCATCGATGAAACTGAACGTGCATGCACCTCGAAAAATTCACTCAACGAAATTCCATTTTTAATTATCCCGCTTTAAATGGGGTATAATGCAATCACCGCATAGTCTGAGGATTATGCCAACATATAAGATATGAAGTCAATTCGAGATGTAACAGAGCACCTGTGGAAGCTGACGACTGCTAGAGAGCAGATGGTCAGTCAGATCCTGACATTAGCACATAACAGAAGAAAAATCGGCCATAGTTTACACTTTAATGGCATTTTGTGGCAAATGAATATCGAAGGATTTGATCGTCAGGTTGAAAAAGGATGTTGTGTCCAATTGTTCCAGCCTTAACAGTTGGGACTGTCGGTCATCGAAACTGTTTGCACAGTACTGCCGGAATTCATCAGCATCTTCCTGCATCAGTACTTACCGTATGTAAGCTCCATGTTAGTCATGTTTGTATCTTTGATCGTGTTGGCCAGCAGGCGGAATATGTTCATCAGGCATCCGTCTACTATAAAGGGCAAACTGTCGAACTCTAAGCTAATTTCATTGGTGTTTCAGGCTGGTCAGACCTAGCATGCATTAAGAAATCGGCCAATGGGGTCGCGGTCATTCCCGCGGCAACAGCAAAAAAGCCAAACGATATTTACGACATGTCCTTGATCTACGGACACGATGAGAGGCAACGATTAACCTGGTGCAAATATATGGAAGGAGCCTGCTCTGGAGTCCAGTTGCTTACTGCCGAAGCTCAGAATTTTGGAGAAGCGGTTATGGATGATGAAGATGAGGGAGGCAACGTCTAAAGTGTTAGATCGAAAGTCATAACACAGCGAGGTGGCAATATACTATTCATCGCCAAAAGTTAATGTTTGAATCTATAATGAACTGTGAGACTTGGATGTACAGAGCTAGGAAAATAGAGTGCAACAGGATTTTTAATTTTGGGCTCACAGTTATATAGAGGTGTTTCAATGATTGATGATTTAGGGCACCATGAGTCATTCAATCACCTATCTACAATGCTGGAACTTGTAGATTTTATAGACATCCGTCATGATTGAAAACGACATTTGTCATGCACAATCTTATTATTCGCAGGCAATGACGAATTCCCGTTCTCCAGCAACTGCTGTCTTGAAAATTACAATGATGAGCCATTTGAAATTCACTTAAATTTGATTGGACCACACAAGAAATATGACCTCTTCCATTCGGAGAAATCTCAGTATCAATACACAGAGTTTTGCCCGACTAATAAAATTTATACTTACTGTACTATTAGCTTTTTTGGCTGGCTCCTTTCGAGAATCAGGCTCTAAGCTGCCCAGTCGCAGTTCCGGAGTTTTTGATGCAACTACGTTCACTTTGGTCGACATTCTTTCAGACGAAGTACTGATTGATGATTGCCACACGAAATCGTATAGACTTATGAACGGAGAGAAAACATAACCCGACCAACTGCTAGAAATCTTGCTGAATAATAACCTCCCTTACTCTAATTGAGATCAGCCTGTATATACGTTGTTTAAAGTGAGGTCAAAAATTAAATTTATCAATTCGCATTTTAGGTTTAAAGCTGAAACTCGTTGTAATTTGTTACTACATCTACTGTAAGAGAATTACAACGTATCACTTGAAATGCTCATCGTTACATTTCGTCCTTCTATATCACATTTGGGAGTGCATAATTAAGATTCGACGTTTATGCTGCTAAGCCACTGTCATTATACTACAATCAATCAATGTTACTATCAGGCCATAGAGAATTCCTCTCATTAAGTAAAGTGTTTAAAGAGACTACCTTCTGGTCAAAAAGACACACTTTTCAAAAAATATACGGAAAACATTTCTTAAAGGATTCGTTAGTTATTCGACCAGAAAGTGTTTCCAACGTTTCTGATTTTGTGCCACACCCTGAGCATCGCTAGAAGACAATCGGAGCTTGAAGCAGACTCTTTCTATACGTTCCAACCAAGTTGACTGTAGTCGTTCCATAGACCTTCTGCCGGTCAATCGGTTAGGATACAGTGATTGGACGGCCCTTAGCCAATGGCCATCGATCCGTATGTTCACAGGCATGCAAAAAGATTGTAGTGCCGGATCCGGCAGCAGGCTTTCTCTAGATCAACGAAGCACATGTACAGCGGATGAACAAACTTACATGATTTATCAACAATCTGGCATGACGCGAATATCCTGCCAGATATGCTTTGGTCGGGACCCGGTCTTGTATCTCAGAGTCATTTATTCCGCGTCACCTCCTTTCCAGCACCATTGCGTAGACGTTCCCAAAAAGGCCCCATAAGGTAATGACCTGATAGTTAAATCACCTACTGTTGTTGCACTTCTTGAACAGGGGTAGTTCCGTTCTACAGACCGCTGGTATCTTCCCCGTAGCCATTGCAGTGTGACCGACACGTGCAAGCCAGCACATGCCTTGTTCTTCTACTACCTTGAGCATTTCGGGGTAAATTTTATCAATTACAGTAGCCTTTCCGCTCTAAGCCTTTCACAGCTTGTGTGATTTATGTACAGAAATAGTAACATCATTTGTTCCCTGCTGATCTACGGGCGAGTTTTCCTGCGCTCGCGTTACTGTTTCCATCGCCAAAAAACGTGTAATCCTGGATATGAGGGTGTCTAGGCTTGTACTTCAGGACTCCTGGACTGTCTTTCGCTTCACCTCGTAGACGGCGGATGGTCTGACTCAGCACTTCACTGAATTGCTGCCAGGAATGATCCTTGGCTTTCGCCATTGCTTTTGAGTGCCAAGGTAACGAGGATAATCAAATCAGCGCAGAATTCATATCATTTCTCATGGTTGACGTATTCGCAGGATTGGATGATCGATGCCTCCATTATTTGCCTGTGTGACCAACTCTCTTTTATGATGCCGCTACACTCAGATCATTGGGGACAGTGTCCTTGCTTGATCGCATGGCCGAGAGACATTGGCTACACAGGCAGATAAAGGAGGCATTAACCACCCAGTCCTGCAGAAG